TCTGGCTGCTCTGCCTATAAACATAGCAATCCCTCCTGGTTTGCTTTTGGAAAGCCGAGCAATTTAGAGTAGTCGTTGCTGCCTCAGGCAGAGGGCGGCAAGCACTTTCGCAGGGGCGACTTGGAGGTCGGAGGACGGTTTCTCACCGCACGTCACGGATCCTGGGCCATCAGGCGGCTCTGGACTGCTACGCTTCGGCGCAGCAGAATCTGGGGAGGCAGCGAATTTCTGGTGGTTGCCACTCTTCTGAAGCTCGGCTTTGCTAGGTCTGGCTTGGTCGACGCGACCCTGCAGTCGACCTTGTCATCGAATCAGGTGTTCGGAACTGCAGTGCTTCACAGCTCCGTCTTGAAGTTGCTGCGGAGGCTCTCTGCTTCTTGAAGCTGTCGAGGTTCCGGGAGGCCGAGGTGCGCCCCGGCGCGTCGGAGCCGAGCCTTTCTGCTTTGAAAGTCCACTCGGAAGTTCACGACGGAAGGAGAGTGCATCTGCGGCCTTGGTTGCCGACGCATCCAACAGCAAAGCAGCGCGACTCTCTGCCTTCGGACAGAGGCGAGGCTGGCCGCCAGCGTCGCCCTCGTCGATCCCAGGTCTACCGGCGAGGCTTGTCGCGCCTAAATCTGGGCGACCCTCGCGGTGCTGTGGAGGACGGATCTATAGACCGCCGTCATGACATGGGCAGTAATTTCCTGCCCAGGACTTTCAAAAAGCTCAAAGGCAGCTGCTGCTTTGATACGAGGGAAGACAGGTCCTAGCCAGTGATATCCAGTGATGAAGGTCGCTTGAGCATCCTCTCAGTCAAAAGAAGTTTTGGCGCAACCCGCAACAGGGCTTGCGGGTAACGGCAATCTCAGACGTTTGGATTTTTTGGGGTCATAATATGTAGAGTCGAGCAGAAGGAGGTCACTGGGTCTGTGTTTGGATTTCCTGCAGGCTTGAGCCTCAGAATGTGGAGGTTCGCCAGAAGCTTCTTGAGGCAAGTGAGAGCTGCGGAACGACCGTTACATGCAGCTCGGAGCTGGAAGCCTTGTTATCCAGGCCAAGCAGCAAGCAGACGCAGCCGTCAGCTCAGCTTGAATCTTGAAGCGGTCTGCATCGCCCCACCAGCCCATTGCTGTCGGCAGGTTCCCGTTCCTGACGCGGAAATCGCGGTTGCTACCGGGGCTACAAGTGCTTTCGGAAAGGATGGAGGACTGCGCCACGCTGAGAATCCACGGAAATCTGTGCTATTCATGCTATTCTGAAGTGTTGCCTTCGAGGTACAGTGAGAAGTTGGACCTGAACGAAGGAAGGCTTGCGCAATCCTTCAAGGAGTCCTGCCTGTCGGGGGGAGGAAAGCTGGCAAGATTCGCGTGGGGCGGATATGGGAGGAGCAGAGAGACTGGGTCAACACCATTGAGAACTGGTCGGAGATCAAAGAGATCTCCTTCCTTGACGAGGAAGATAAGAACGTGGTCTCCGTCTACATGTCCCTGTCTAGACCCCGGGAGTCCGGGAGTTTTGCAAGTGTGCCCCTCGCTGAGCGGAGGCCTGGGCTGCACGAGCTCGCTGCCAACAAGGTCTGCGTTTGGATGACGGCCACCACGCTTGAGGCGGCAACCCGTCTCTTCTGGTCTTGTCCTCTAACCTTTTAGTTTATTTCAGAGCTGAAACCCGCCAGAATCGTGGAGCAGGTTCGCGTTGTGGAGCTGCGGGGATCGAACTGGTGACACGCCGCGTACTTCTTGCCTACGGGACCTCCAAGCATCGGCCAATTTGCTCGTACGCCAAGCGCCAGGTGCTACGTGGCGCAAGAGCTATGGGGCCAGATAGACCCGCAGTGCAGACCCAAGTAGCATCTCGTGTTGCGAAGATGTTCGTGTCTATTGATCATCTTCTTGAGGCAGTCGACTTGGAAAGTGCGCAAGGACAAGCTTTCCTTGAAGCTGCAGAAGCGCGCCAGCGCGCGTAGCCTGAATCCCGGCGGGCGGGGATCCGAAAGTCCGAAACAGCCTTTCCACTCATGTTCGTGCCGGGCCTGGCCGAGGCTGGGATCGCTGGGAAAAGATACGCCGGATCTGACGCCCCTGCAACCCGGGGGAGAACCGGCAGCCGGCAACGAAAGTCTCGCACTCACGCACGAAGATGTCCTTGAAGATCCTTCAAGCTAGAGTTGCCTGTCGACTCTCCGCCATTCGGCAAAAGACACACAATGCTTTGCGTGTGGTTGACAAAGTTCTAGTGCTTCAGATGCCTTGCTGCCGACCCTTTGTGCCTTCTTGATGCGTTCCATGCCTGACTTCCGTTTGTAGGACCATTCGGCGAGCCCCAGTGGGCGAGGCGGCTGGCAGGCAGCAGACATGCTGTTAGTCTTTGTCTTTGGCATGTGTTGTGCTCATCCCCGGCAGGCAGTCGTTTGAGGACACCAGCTTTCAAGTATGCACATGTCACATGGCCTGCATCGCGAGTCCTGGCAAGCCACAAGCCATCTCATGCGCATGCGTGGTCAGCAGGACGACTTCCACCGCTCCTCTTACATGCAGACGCTTCGTCCCATGGCGAAAATACCAGTAACTGGGGTGAGTGGGGATGTCAGCTGTCAGCCATGTCAATTTCTGATGCCTAGAGGAGGAAATGATCAGCGAAGCGGCGTGAAGAAAACGCAAGAAGTTTCGGCGCAACAGCACAAGTAACAGCACTAGTAACCTACCAGCAGCCTGCCAGGAAGCTGTCTGGTATCAGACGGAGGCAGGGACTTGTCGTGAGCAGAGGTCAGTGATGTTTAGTCAGACCGTGCTCACACTTGGCTCTTGTGACGTTGCATCTGCCCTCCACACCGTTGTTTGCTGTTCTCGTTCCCTCGCAAAGTGCATGCTCTGCAGCAATGCGCCGGCGCTCAGCTGCCTTCGCGGTACGGGAGTTTGCCTGCTCTCCCGTGTCCAGACCGTTCCGGACCATGTCCAGATGGAGACACAGCGGCCTACAGGAGGGACGTGAGGGATTGCTTCGCTCGATTTGCAGATGCTTCGGCGCATTCGCTTCCTGTCGGCGCTCCACGCATGGTTGATCCGTGGCCTAGTCTCGGCCGCGGCACCTGAGCAGAAAGGCAGGGAAGGGCCGGGACCCAGGGTGATGCTGAGCGTCATCACACGGAACCGTTTCTGGCGGCACGCGCTCTCCACCTTGTCTTTGCGGAGCTCGGTGGAGAATGCGCAGCAGGAGCTTCCCGACCTTCACCTCGAGTGGCACCTGATTGATGATGCAAGCAGCGGAAGCAAGTCTTCAGAGAAGCAGTCCATGATCCAAGAATTGGTTGAAGCCGGGCAGATTCGAAATTTTACGAGGATGTCCCGACACCTGGGAACTGTTCGAGTCCTGGCTTTGGCTGTTGAAACATTTCTCAGCCGAGCTGACCTTGACTTCTTTCTTCACTGCGACGACGACATCTTGATGGGCCGGACAACAGTCGTGCGTGCCCTCAGGGACTATATGACTGATATAACCGACGGTGGGATTTTGGCGCTCTTTGTGAACTCCTGGCTGGATGACCAGCTATCTCATGCAGATCCAGCATTTGGACCGTATGCGGTGGCCCCCTTCCTCGGTGGTGCTGCCTACATCGTAGATCGCAAGACTCTGACTGTGACCGGAAACCCCTGGGCGCAAGCGATTGCCAGCAATAATCGAATAACACCCCACGAGGCACATGTTTTCTGGCTCAGGCAGTTGTTGCCTTCCCGGGGTCAACGGATATGGGTGAGATGGAAGCAGCCTTACGAGTGTCAGCACTTGGGGAACGTGAATACAATGAACTTTGGGAGGCAGCCTGAGTGGGAGCCCATGTGGGCCATCGACCACGAGTCCAAGCGCGTCGTGGAAGTTCCCGGCTACACATCCGCTGATGTTCGTGCTGCGCTGTGGAATGACCGCAAGCTTTTGCCGGACTATGTTGCCTTCCAGAATGCCAAGATGCGAAACCCATTAAAACAGCTTCCCTCCACGGAAACATCCGGCGCATGGTCTCCCTGGGCCTACCGCAGGCGTCACCTCAACTACTTGGAGATTGGAACAGCTGACTTCGACACACTGCTTTCTCGGCATGTTTGGCGGGAGGACGTCCACGGAATCTCGGTCGAGCCGTTGAGGATCTACTTCGATAGGCTGCCATCTCATGGAGGTGCTAACAAGCTCCTGCTAAACGTGGCCGTGAGTGACTACGACGGTTTCGACACGCTCTACTTCGTTCAGCCTGAGCTGGTCGGGCCGCACCGCGGGTCTGAGAGCCTGTGCGACCAGGCGCTGCTGTCAAAGCTGGGCCTCGACGAGTGCCTTCCAGGCGCATCGCGTAGTGACGTAGTGGCTTGCGATGGCTTGCAGCACATGCATTCATGTAGAATGTAGATGTTTGTAGATGTGGAGACGTTTAGCTGTCTGCAGGATGGGTCCGGGGCACCTCCTCCCTGAAGAGACCACCTGAGGGTGTCCGGCAACTGCTGGGCAAGCGGGCCATGGATGTGATGGGAAGGGTGCAGGTTCCTTGCATGACCTACGAGACCTTGCTGACAGTGTACGGCATCGGCACCTAGGCTACACTCAGAGATCTCTCGAAGCTCAGGTCGTAATATGTCTTTGGAATTCTTTGACGGCCGCCCAAACGAGGTTCCCTGGGTCTACTGAAGATAGATGCTTGGCGCACTCAGCGACTCTTTTTACCACTGTCACGAAGCACGTGCGCTTCTTTGGCATCCGAGGATGCCGAAGGCTTCGATGCCAACATCTTGCGTCAGGTTCTCGAGCTTGGCCGCAAGCGGGGCCTGTGGCCGTGGCAGGCAGTCGCTGTGGGCGTGGGCGTGCACCTTTGGGTTGTGAGGGGGTTTGCGAGCAGGTTCAATTTGAGAAGAACATTCTGTCGGACTGGGAGATGTTGGATGCGCAGGCCCATCAGATACTGATGTTGGACAGCGGTGTAGTTTCTCTGATGCTGTCGCTTGCTCAGGTGATCGAACTACACCGGGAAGGATACCGCTGTCGCATGACCGACGTAGAAGTGGCTACATGCTGGCGCGAGTGAACAAGACGACGGCGCGCGCGGTGGAATCAACATGACAATGGACAAGGATGCGTCGCACAGGCCCTCGGCATGCTTGACGGATGGAGGAAGGGTGCATTCTGTGCCAAGTGCCAAGTGCGGAATGAACTCTCGGCTTCAAGATCTCAGAGATTCAACCGCATTCTGTGGCTTCGTGGCTTTATTCCACATCATGCCCTCCAAGGCCAAGATTTTGGCGACGCTCGGAGGCTTTACGTTCTTCGGCAATGACGGCAATGGTGAGAAAGAAGGTGTTTAGGGTCTAGGGTTTAGGGTTTAGGAAGGAGGGCAGGCATTGCCGCATCCGCTACGAATGGTCATCCGATCTCTGCGACTGCCTTCCTGGAGCTTTCGACCGGGGCCCCGAGTGTTCCAAAGAAAGCACTTTGCAGCAGCAGCAAAGCTGCGTACTCTCCCCCGCTTTTGGGTGCCTGAGAGGCTTTGACTCAGAGCCGCTGGACGATGCCATGGAGCTGCGGACCTTGCGGCGGGACGATGCCGGACGCCCAGGGGCATAGTCCCAAAAAATCATTGGAAAGTGTCATCACGTCTCTGTCTCAGGTGCTGGGTAAACTAGAGGCCGGCCCTCCACCTGATCCGCCTTCTCCAGGCTGCGAACCTTGCGAGTGACAGAAAGCCCCTGGCCGATCGCAAACTCGTCCTTTGCAGTCGCAGTCGCCGTCGCAGACGGTCTGGAAGCTCCCGAACCAGAAGGCCAGCACCGCACCAAAGGTATTGGCCCGACAGCCCAGCCAGCCAAGGCATTGCGCTCAGGCAGAGTGGGCAAGCTCTTTCATCAGGCGTCGGCTCGCACTGGGACACCGCTTCGCTGGTTTGTGGAGCGCGGCTCTTTGCCAGGCGAGGGTCAGTGTGAGGCTTCAGCTTCTCCAACAGGCCCTGTACTTTTTCGCTGATTGGCTGAACCGCGCAAGCTGAAAGCGAGGTGATGTCGCTGCAGCCACCACCCGGATGGATGGCGAGGTGCATCTTGCTCGTGCATACATTGACATGGGGCCTTGGTATTTTTTGGTTTTCTCGGAATTGCCGGTAGGAGCGAGGCCGTGTTGGGTCTCCAGAACTCATTCGGATCGTGCCCAGCCAGGCCGAGGAGCTGGAGGCCGAGTGCGAGGTCCTGGAAGCGGCGGCGCAGTCCTTGAAGCTCTCGCGGGGGATCACAGGTTACCGGGAGCCCTAAAGCGGAGTGGAGGGCGGGGGGGCGTTTTTCTGAGCTTCCGAGGCAGCAAAGCTCGCACCTGACGGAGCTCGTCTCTGAGGGCCCAGGCCAGTCGAGACATGGGCCTCGAACTGCCCGTTAGCATGAAAGCTGAGACTGTGCAGTCGCGCTGTGCGGAGTGGGAGGGGGTGGCCTGTTGCCATCCGGGGCTGCCGGTGCTCGCATCTCCATCGCGTCCTAGACTACTGCTGGTCCCAGACATAAAGCTTGAGTATCTTGAGTCATGTCTTGTGACCTGGTGACCTGGTGCTTTCTTCCTGACGCCTTTGCGCTCCAACATGCCGCGACCGCCGCTCTCACTCCGCCACTTGGAAGGCGGGCCTTCCCTCTCCGAGAAGCCGGAGGCCGGCCTGGCCTGGGAGGCGAGCACCGGACGAACCGCCGCCGCTTCGTGGCTTTCTTTTAGAGCCTTGAGACGGTGGGCCAGGTGGGTGAGCCGATCTCCGCGCTGCATGTGCCGGGTCAGGGCTCCGCAGGCTGAGACGCTGGGACGCCGGGGAGCTTTCAAGCTTCCAGTTCCAGCTGTCCAAGCTGGCTCGAAGGTGTCCAGGAAGTGAAAGCAGGCACGTTGCAGGAGCAATTCCGCAAGAGAGTCTTTGCTTTCGAGCTGTTGAAGCTCTTTGGCCAAAGGACTCCGTGAGCAGTCCTGCTCACTCAGCCGTCACGACTCCTGCTACGAGCGGCTACCAGACTCTACCCAAGGGAGTATCTTGCTGAGATCAGGACATTTGGCCCCTCGACTCTTTGTCTCAGCCCATCTGCGGTTGCAGCCCAGGTGGACCCGGTTGAGGTGGCCTGCGATCCCGTGCCCGGTGCAGTCTTCACGGCGGAGGCACAAAGAGAAGGAATGCGTGGGACGAAACCAGTTAGCAGCATTCTGGAACAGGATGAGGCTGTGATGGGCCCGGCCCTCGATGAATCCTCTGCTGCTTCATCCGGCCTCGTTCGTTGTGGAAGCTGGCTGTGCCGGAGGCTTGAAGCGGCGTGGAGGTGTGGAGGTTGTCGTGGAGCCCCCGCGCGCGAAGGCCATTTCTCCGCCCGTTGACCCTCTCGACATGCACAAGGAATCCCGAAGCTTTTCTGAGCCCACATGGCGCCCGAGGCCGCGAACGCACTGCAGCGTGAGCCTCTCTCGGCGCGCTCGGCGCGGTCCCGGGAAGGCGGGGAATCTCAGCGCAAGGATCCTTAAGGGGGGCTCGGCGCCGTGGAAGGCGACTTGGGCGACCCTGGTTTGCCCAGCGAAGCTCGCAAGCCGAGCTCGGGCGACGGCTCGCCGCCAACGCCAGCGGGCTCCGGCTCCCTGGGCCTGCGAGGCGGAAGAACAGCGCGGCTCGGCGCGGCTGGGCGGCTCGGGTCATCTGTGACAGCGCAAGGCGCTCCTGCGCCAATGGTCGCCCGGCCGCATGCGCAAGGCAGGCCTCCCAGGCAACCTGTCCGTTGCTCAGCTTTTTGAAACTCGTGACATCGTGAACCCGCGGCCCTTTGCGCGGTCCTCCCAGGCGACTCCAGCGGGCTCCGCTGGCAGTACGGAGTCAGAGCAGTGGCATCCTCAGCCCAGTTTCAAAGCGGTGTGCAGCATAGTGAACCGCACTGCCCAAGAGCAGCCTGAAGAGATGGGACAGTTTTGCGATCGCTGAGAGGGAATGAAAGCAAGGAGCTCTTGCTGGTGCCGACTTCCCAGCCTCAGGCCGAGCCTCCCGCGCAGGCGCACACCGTCCCTGGGGCCGGGACCTTGTGTGAACTTATACGGGAATGCGAGTCTTCAGCTGAGAAGTGACTTCAGATGGATCAGGCGCAGACCCAGCTTGCCGAAGGCGCGATCTTCGGATCTTCAGATGGTAGAACTTCGGCCGTCGGCTGTCGGCAGACGTTTTGAGAGGCTGACTCTGCCAGACGAAGCTCCTCAGCAGGCTAGTTTGGAGATCTCCCCGACCTCTAGATGAAAGATGCACCTGGCTTTGCTCCTTTGTTCAATCCGCCTCTGCATGTGTCTTGGAGGTCGGTCTGGCAACCGGAAGTTGGTGCGGAATGCCCTCGAAAAGTACTGCCTCAAGGCACGGTGCATGGCAAAGTCTTGAGTTTTGCGCTCTTTCAGTCGCCTTTGCGGTCAGGGCGATGCCAATCGAGAACAGCGTGAGCTCGTTCTCAAATCCTTCGATGAAGACCTGGAGAGGTTGGAAACTGCGGCTCCAGCTCATCCATCTTGAGTGTTGTTGTGGACGGCTCGGCGGCCCGGCTTTGGGAGGTTTGATCGCTTCATCATCCTCTTCCGGAGCATTCACACTGGCTGCAGCCTTGACTGCTGACGTTCCAGCTAAGTTGGAGGGCAGGACTTTGCGCGACCTAGGCCGGCATGATCTCCGAGCGCTGTATGGCTTTTCAGAGGCCAAAGAAGCTGGCTGCAGATCTTGAAAGAGATTTCCAACTCATGTGCGCGTGGCCGTGGATCAGGGAAGCTGGTCTCGCGTGCTGCAGATTCTGCCCTCCCCCGCGCGCTGCCGGCCACGTTCAACATTTCGTTTGATTTCTCAGCTTTTGCAACTCGGGCGATTTGCAGGTCCCTGGAGGAACGGATGGTTGTGCAGTGCCTGAGATACGACTCCGGTGGCAAGGACGATCTTTTCCTTGGCTGCGAAGTTTTACTTTTCTCTCGGGTCGACTGTAGAGGTGGTGGAGAAGAAGCCTGAATGGGTCTGCCGAAGCTTTTCAAGCAAGTCGATCCGTTTGAATTGCCGACCTCGTGCAATGCCTTTGCTTCTTCTCAGCGCTGCAGGAGTTCAAGGAGGTGCCCGCGTCGCAAGAGCCGCTGTCAGTGGCGGATGCAGCTGGCATCCAAGAATCCCGAACCGTATCTCCTTGCGGCCTGAGTTTGGCACTCACCTGATGTGCCGAGGTGTTCTTGCATCCACAATTCTTGCAAAGGTCTCGGGTGGTCGTGCCATGACACGGGATGTCATGTTTTCCGCACGCCATGGTTTCACCAGAATTCGACATGCATGTAGCAGCTACAAGCGCTGCATGCTGGGCTATGTACCCATCAGCCCGTCTCGCCAAATTTGTCGTGTGCCTGTTGGGTTGGATCTGATCATGCAAGGTTCAACGACATGATTTTTACATGTTGCCGTGACCGGAATGCTGCTGCATGCCTCCGCAAAAGCTCTAAAGTCCAACTTACGAGTCCTATCACGCTTCGCCCTTGACGCTTTCGCGTTCTACTATCCTTCTATTTGCCCCGAGGCCGGGTATGAAATGCATGGTTCATGTCACTTCACGCATTCAAGTGCATGATTCGTGATGCATGAGCAGCGTATGTTGTGGTTCCTTAGTCTGAGCCAGACAGCCTTTTGCAGGCCGTGATACGCTTCTTGCGGTCCAACTAACTAACTCCTTCTCTCAGCAGCGGGTTGCTCGGATGTCGGGCGTTTGAAATGCTTCATGCGCAGCTTTCTCCATCGCAAGACTGGGTGCCATTCCCAGCGTGGTCGCTTTAGTGAGTTTCAATGGCTGAGGTTATGACTACGCCGTTTGTGCAGTTGTTCCACGAAGTCTGGAGGCAACCTCGCAGGGAGCAGAGCTCGCAAAGCCCCACAAATCTACTATCTGACGTCTGATTACAGCTCGAGACTTGCGAGCTTGCAGCTGTGCACAGGGTAGGCACGTGGCCTTTGCAAAACGCTTCCAAGGGCACGCGAGCAGATACTTGTAGTAATTCAGTGTACCAGAAGGGCCCGCCCCGTGCATCGATGAACGCAGGTCAGTTGCTGCCCTAACCATACAATCATGCAAGCACCAAAGAAACAAACGCAGGTCAATTGGCCTCGAGCTTGTGATTTTTGCGCTGCCGGCCTCAGTTACCCATTGAAGATGTCTTGTCCTCTCATCGCAGTAACTTGCCAGGCGGTGACCCTCATTTGTGCATTTGCAGTGCGCCGTTTCTCTCCATCACCTGGCCTGAAGCCCAGCCCCACAGCGACATAGCTGTAGCTGCGGTTCTTGGTCAACTTTGTGTGCTGCAAAATGACCAGTGTGTGGCTGTTCATACGCACCGAACTGGTCAATCTTACCTTTGCGGTTGACCAACTTTTTTCGAGTTTTGGTTGATAAGGCTTTTCATTACTCAAGATACGCTTGACCAACATGTATAACATGCAGTGAGCATTTACTTGTTGACTGGCGCAGGTGCGAAGAGTCTTTCCCAGAAGGCCGCAGCTTTCTCGGTTCTGTCATTTCTGCCGAGATTAGAGCCTGCGATGGACCAGAAGGATGCAGACTTGGTCAAACCCAACTCATTGGCCCCGAGAGGCTTGCGACCTGCCGAAATCTTTTGCGCAGCCGAAGCTGGCTCCCAAGCTGCGGTGCCGGAAGCTCCGCTAAGTCCGTGTTCCAACATGGAAGCATTCCTTCTCACGGCTGGTGGTCTTCAGTTTCGTAGAGTCGTAGAGTGTGCGAGGCGCTGCGAGACGACGAAGCACCGCTTGCCCACCGAGCCGGGATCTGATGGCTTTGGGATCTGGGAACTGTCAGAACCCCTAGGCCCTAAAAGGCCCTAAAAGGCCCCAAAAGGCCCCAAAGGCCCCAAGTCCTAAGCCAGAGGGTGCTTTCTCGGCAGTTCAGGGTCGGCGGCCGATGTCTCGGCTTCTCTGATTCCCCCGCCAGCTGGAACGACATAAGATCTATGCATGCAAACAAGTGGGCAGCCTGCAGTCAGGCGTTTCGCTTCTTCACTTTTGCAAAAATGCCGGGGATATTTACTTGCGGATTATCGGGCACCTCTGTTTGTAATTGTTTGACCTTTTTGTTTGTTTTGTTGGCACAATTTCTTGCAGGGAGGATTGAGGGAAAGAAGGGAATGAAGGCGGAAAGAAAGAACACACCAACGGGAACTCAAGAGAGCAAGAAAGAAGAACGAAACCAAAGGATGTACATGGAAGAACGGAAAGAAAGAGAGAGGATTGAGAAGACAGAAATAACGAAATACAGAGAACGAACGAGACCAAGGGAAGCACAGTGGAAGAATCGCAAGAAAGAAAGATATTCGGAAATAAAGACACCAAGGAACAAACAAAGGGCAAGACACGAATCGCTAGAAACAAAGAACCGCAGAAAGACAAAAATAACGAAAGAACGACAGAAAGACAAAACAGCAGAAAGACAGAAAGACATAACACCAGAAAGACAAAAATACAGAACGACAGAAAGACAGAACTACAGAACGAAAGAAAGACATAACCACATCAAGAAAGACATAATTATGAATAAAGAGTGCTTTAGAAATAAAGACGCAACAAACGAAAGAAAGACAATGAAGTACAGCAGCGGAAGGGTAGATCGCCAGACAGCCAGACAGAGAGTCAGAAGGAAAGCATGCCATACGGACGGAACCACGAAGAAAGCCAAAAGGAGGTACAGAATGAACGAAAACTTGTAATCGCAAAATCAGCAGCATTTAAATAGCGACATAAATGCGGAAAGAAGGAAGTTCAGAAGGGAAGAGGGAGAGAAAGAAAACGACTTAGCAAGGAAGAAAGAGGGAAACACAAAAAAGGGAAAGAAGAGGAGCCGGCAACTAGCGGAAGGGAAAAACGGAACAAGGGAACAAGGGAACAATCGAAGAAGTAAAGCAAGACACCCATGTCACTGCACCGCTCTGTTAAACCGCTCAAGCAGCTAGAGTCCAGAAAATCCCGATGAACCCTTTCGGAAACCATACAGGCAGTGTGTTTGTGCCTCCCCTTAACCAGCTTTCTCAAGCCGTGTAAGCATGCTTTCAATAACGTCGTGCCATCGAGAAGAATTGCGCCAAGCACATATTCTTGTGGAACGTTTCAAAGCACATCATATCAGCTTGCTTCAAGGTGGTGCCAACAAGAACACAACCCAATGCGAGCCCCTTCCGACCCCATCATTGTGTTTGCCAAGGGACCACCCCGCCCACCCACCCCTCGACCTTCTTGAGCCGCGCAAGCTCGCCTTCGACAGCAGAATGCCATCAAGCACAATTGCGTCAAGCACATAACTCGTACGAGGCCTTTCGAAACCCGGCATGCTCCCACCCCTCCCCCCTCTCCTTCTTTCGCTGTGCAAGCTTGCTTCATCTTGCTTCGACCCCCGGCGTACTGGCATTGTTTTTGAAATGGGGCGGGGGTTGAGCACCCGCACTATCCTCTCCGCTTGTCTTTTAGCGGTACAAGCTGCCGTACGGAACATCTATTGCTAACTCTGATTCACCACGGGTCTGATTATAGATCTGAATCTTCCTATTGCCACTGTTTTGCTAGTCATTATTTTCCGGATGAGCGTTAATCTTGCCAGTGCTACTACCAGCACGACTTATACTGCTGGTACCATTGGTATTATGATTACTATTCTTGCTTGTTGCTCGTGTCATAACAAACAATTGTTCGAATTATTAGTGTTAGCAGCATTGTTGCGACATAGTGCTTGCAAACGGGGGGGGGGGGCGCCCCCCCCCCCCCCCCCCGAACCTCTCAACCCGCCGTGTTTCAGATGTGCAAGCTTGCGTTGACGCTCATCATGCTGGCATGGTGTTTGTAAACCGTGGTGGCCGCGCCCGCCCCCCCCTCGCCCTGACCATTGTTACCGTTGCTATTACTACGAGTAGTGCCATTCTTAATCTTGTTGCTGTTACTTCCCTTGCTGACTGTTGTTATTGTGTTTACTAGTATCATAATTATTCCTCTTCTTAGCAAAATTACAGTACATGGAAGTATTGCAGTTGTTGTTGTATATCATGAGTAATTACGGAATGCATATGGGTGGTTGTCAAAATTATGGTGCCTTTTGCGGTCCTGATTTTGATACGGCACCTATTATTTAGGGTACCCCAAAAGGGACCCTAATTTTGAGAACTACCCATATGTTGCAAGCAGAAACCTGGAAGTTGAAACCATGAAGATGTCTTCACGATCCTATTTCCAAACGGCAAAATCCATAAAAACCCATTAGCCACCTACGAAAGCCCATCAAGCTGTCACTAAAATCAGACTGATTCGGTCAAAGTCTTTAGAGTTTTAGGGTGTGACAAGGCTTGGGAAGCATGAAAACCAAAACATAGACAGAGCACAGCGAAGAATACACAAAAAAAAAAAACCATCGCGTAATGTTCCGAAGCCCAGGCCTGCGGAAGTCCTGCGTGAAGTTGTGGGCTGAGCTTCCGGCTGGGCTGAGTTCGGGGTTTCTGACGCGTAGTAGTGTAAAATTGAGATAAACATGGTTGGTGAGTCATGCTCCTGCATCACCTCTGCACCAGGGCTCACGACATGATCATGGCATTTCAGCTTCCCGCCAACTTTGATCTTCAGCTACATAATAATACGTGCTATAAGCATGGTCGAGCGGCCAGCGCAGAAGGCATCAAGTCTTGGGAGCTTTCACTGGAAAGCTCCCATCAACAAATGCAACCTCGCTTCAGCCAAGAGCTTTGGGCTCATCCGGGTTTCAACGCGTCTGAGATCTCCGTGACTGCTGGTTGTGATGCTCCATGTAGCTTTGGCATGTGGCAGTTTTCCGAGCCCCGCATGTCAACTGAGTGGCCGGCAGCTACGGTTTGACGATCTCAGGTGATGCAATGTCTGCAGGAGCAGAACAGTGCCCCGCGCCCTCCGAGCAGGCCGCCAACCCAGCTCCTTGAAAGAGCTCCGCTCGACTTCAGGGTAATCAGAGACTGAGCAATGCAACATGGAAATGAAAAATGAAGCTCGTGCCGCCAGAAGCTTCACAGGATCCTGGGGCTCTACTCCGAACTGCGCCACCTGCTTCGCACCACGCGTTCGTGACCGGTTTAGAACTCTGTGGACGCAGTGCAGTCGAGTGTCAATGCCCAGCAAAGCCTGGACCAGCAGATGCCAGGGGGCAGACGATGGCAGAAGTTGCGGCCGAGTCCGGGTGGGGGGCCCGTGCTCTCTGGAGCTTGGCGCAGACATGTCCAGACACTGTGAAGAATTTTTGAGGCAGCGAGCGGCGGATTTGTATTCTGGGCTGACGCAACTGGCAATTCGAGTGTCTTGGCAGCATGCAATGCAACATCATTCATTGATTGCTCGTGACATGACCGGAGCCTGTTGCCCATTTTGCCGCACGATTCCAAGTCAAATTCGGACCCGTGGGCTGAGTCCGGAAAGCACCAGATGCTCAACTCCATCATAGATGACATGGTGCAGAGCGAGGCCACGGCAGTGATGCTTTGCACGGGCCCCTCAATCCTTTCATGTCGGGGAGGTGCCGCGGTCGCTAGCTTTCTACGAGAGCGCCAGAAGCTTACTTTGCAGCTGGGGGTTGGCTCGTTTCGTCCTTCCGTGCTTGCGCTTCGTAGGTCTGCGTCGACCTGTCGGGTTTTAGTTGTCAGAGCTTGCGAGGTCATGAAGCAGCTGGCTGTTCAGAGGCAGTTCCGTTTGGCACTGCGCCCGAGCCTCGCATGTCCCAAAGGTCAGTTGGATACCAACCACTCCAGTATTCGAGCGCAGTCCTTACCCGACCCTCTCCCGTCGCACGAGGAGTCTACGATCGCCTCGTGGAGGATGGTCTCGAAACCACGGCCATCACTTGCAGCTGCCTTGTCCGCTTCGCTGCAGAGGCCTTTCGACACCGCACCACCTACAGTTTATCGAGAAGCGCAATGAGCACTGGCGGTAGTCAGAGCCGAAGCCATACTGGTTGTTGCACAACTGTACGAGCATACCTCTGACAGCGGTATGCACATGGACTGGTGACAGTCCGAATGAAAGTGATAGAGATGTTCAAAATGTAAGTTTATTGAACTTTCTAGTTTTAGCAGCTATTGTCCATTGTAGAAAAAACTTGATTACAGTCAAGTTGAAGCTTGTGCTGATACCAGTGGCGACAGAGATGTCACTGCTAAAACTGCTAGATACGAAAAACAGATTACAACGAATCAAAGGTCCGTACGTGTACCGCTCTCACTCGTACCACCACAGGGACGGCGACGACGTCAAGCTGCTCACCATCCACGTTCCCTTCCAACTAACAAGTGTCAACTATTAGCTATCCGCATCCACTGTTGACAACATCCTCCTACTACTACTACTACTACCACCACCACCACCACGACTACTACTACTACTACTACTACTACTACTACTACTACTACTGCTACTGCTACTGCTAGTGCTCCTGCTACTACTACTACTACTACTGCTGCTGCTGCTACTACTACTACTGCTACTACTACTACTACTACTACTACTACTACTACTACTTTTACTACTACGGCGCAACCCTACTGTTTGCCCGCGCAGTTCTTGAAGAAGTACGTTTGGACTGTTCAGGGCCGATTTTTCCGGTTTTGGAGTCTGATGGAACCTGCTCTATTTTTGTTAAATTTGCTCTCAAATTTGCAACCCTCTTTGCATCTGTTACAAGAATGTTGCCAAAAGAACTAAACCCTGAACGGACATCTAAAGCCTGAGAGTCTGCAGCTCACATCCTCAAGAGGCGGCTGCCTGCACTTCTCATTTTTGCTCTTGGAAAAGATGTCAGAACTGCAGGCAGCCGATTCTTGAGGATGTGAGCTGCAGACTCTGAGGCTTTAGATGTCCGTTCAGGGATTAGTTCTCTTGGAAACATTCTTGTAACAGACGTTCCCGCGCCGAGCAAATGCCGAGAGGGTTGCAAGTTTGCAAGCAAATTTAACAAAAATAGAACAGGTTCCAGGAGACTACCAAGCCGGAAACATCTGCCCTGCGCAGTCCAAACGTACTTCTTCAAGAGAGCGCGATGGACGAGGAGCAGTATCTCGTACAAAACGGTTGTGGGCAAACGGTGGGGTTGGCGCGTACTACTACTACTACTACTACTACTACTACTACTACTACTACTACTACTACTAAATTCGACGACGACGACGACGACGACGACGACGACGACGACGACCACGACCACGACCACGACCACGACCACGACCACGACCACGACTACGACTACGACTATGACTACGACGACGACTACGACGACGACGACGACGACGACTACTACTACTACTTCTACTGCTACTGCTACTACTACTACTACTGCTACTACTACTACTGCTACTACACTGTTGCCCTTAGTCCTGTTCTCATTGTTACAGAGCCCCACTTTGGGTGTTCTCGAGTTTAGGGATTTAGTGCTTGAGGGTTTTGATGACACTGGTTTTGCCGGACGTTGTTTTGAGACCTTGGGGCACTTTCCACCCTGCCTGTTGAGCAAGAAGCATAATACAGTAAGGCTCCAGCAAGATCAGCGAAGTTAGAAACGCTTATGAAGTACTGAACGTGATGACATGTTAACGCTGATGTGACGAGCATGGACACCAACTTACGACTCAGGTGTAGAAGAAACCATCTTCAGGCAGACCTGGATGCGTTCGACAATGCATGGTTATACCTGAAGTGAGACATTTTCTACGGTGTACAGTAGTGAACCCAGTAGTCGCTTTAGGGGCGATGGATGCGGCTTTGGATAAGGATAAGCATGGCACTGTTGGTGTACCCCTTTTCGGTTGTGTTGCGCTGAGGCCCCCTTGAAGGTGCACATCTGCTTCCAAATCGATGAAGTTATTGTTCTCAGTAATATGTGTATAGAGCCGGGTTCGGGGTCGGTTAGGGTTCACTCCAGGAAAATCCGGATTTCATTCCTACTACTAGCTTGTAGGAGGCGGTTCCCATGCTGGTTAAGCAATCGAGTCCTCCAGCCAGGAGCATTCGGGAGGTGGTAGGGTGTTGGTACCAAGAACTTGTTTGTACAATCTACCAGTGCTAACCCTAAACCCTAAACCCTAAACGTAATGGTACCATGATCGTAGGGTTGCTCGGCATTCCTAGGACTGGGAGAGAACACGATTCGCTGTCCAAAGAACGTTGCAGCAGAAGTATCCAGAGAGCCCAATACCCCTTAATTGAGGAATGTACCTTAAACCTTAATGTTAAGCCCTTATAATTTCAGGTGTATTCCTTAATTTTTGAGGAATGTACCTTAAGTCATAATGTTAAGCCCTGATAATTTCAGGTATATGCCTGAATTGCAGGGTATTGGGCTCTCTGGGTTCCTGAGTGTTACTTTAAGGGCTTAGTATAGGTGCTTTCATTAAGTAGAATAGGGTCTCGGTGCATATTTTAAAAAAACCCAAGTCATGGTTTATAGGTTGGCTTAGGGTTTGGGGTTTAGGGTTTGGAGTTTAGGGTTTAGGGTTTAGGGGTTTAGGGTTTGGAGTTTAGGGTTTAGGGTTTACAATTTGAGGTTTTGGAGTTTAGGGTTTAGGGTTGTAGTTTCCACAGAACGAGCTGTGTAATAGCACGATTTGGGCGCACAGACATGCGGCGAGCACACTCTGCGACGCCTTCTCGTCGCTCTCAGTGCAAGAGCCCCATCGTGTTCCGTCTGCGTTTCGGGAAAGAAAGCAGTAATTAGAATTGAATAGTAATGGTAAGAGCCATAGTTAGGAACGGTACGACAATCACAACTAAATACCACGAATTCCTTATCATCGTCCTGCTGTCGCTCCCCTGGTCGTCCGAACACTGCGCCAGTGCCAGGTTGCAAAGACGGCGCAAACTGCGATCATTGCCACCTATGCCGATGGCAGCTTTGCTTATCTTTCTGGCATGCCTCTTGCATGGGGCCAGGATTTTTTGAGAGCCGAAGCACCCTAAACCCTAAACCCCAAAACCCCTAAACCCCTAAACCACTAAACCCTAAAACC